GTCATAATTGCAATAACTATACTGTCCATACCAAACGAGAGATACTACTCTGTTTTCAAATTTTCAGGCTTTTGCTTATTACATTTTATTAATCATTTCTACGAAAAAGTGGGATTTTAGCTTTAATTATAGCTAAAGCTTTAACTACCTCTTTATTTTCAACATTCCCTTTTCTGTCGGTCTTTGCATGTCTAGAGTCCTGACCTTAGTGTCGTCTCTGTTATAAAGGAAGGATGGGCATGCAAAAGTCTGAAATATAAGAGTAATCAACGACAATAAATGACCTCTATCCATTCTAGGATTTTATTGCTCTTTTCATATTTTTCTCCTCGTCAACCAGAACCATTAATTTGACTCAAAACTAAAACATCGACCAGCTGTCAATCATTTTGTGCATTATCATAAAAAGTCCGCATTCTGGAATGCCTTTTACTTTGTTCACGGCCTCAAAGCTTGAACCTCAAGTTACAAAGTCTGTACCAAAGCAAGCCAAACAAATACAGAGAACTTACCAATCATATCAGTTGCAAATAGGTTTCCAATAATTCGTCTTGTTTCGTTTTTCGCAGGATTCGTGTATTCACGAGTAGTTTTGGTCTACACAACAGAAATGTTTTGGGATTTGGAATTTTATGTGCAGATAGACAAAAAGTCATTTATCATGACTGTAGCATGACAGGTAAACTGTATAGTTAGTTTAACATAATTTGCATTTTTTCAAGGAAATTGGAACAGCTACGTGATCATTCCAAATATCATATTTGTTGGCTACAAACATGCGCTATAAGTAAGAGGCCAAATACAGTTCTTCATAATTTCTAGCCGATGACGGCAGATTAGTACTGTTTAATTTAACTTAGCAGGTATGGAACTATAAAAGAAGGCCTTTGAGCAATTGAGTTAGGGGACGTTTACATCCCTTTCAAGCCAAAGCTAACAGCCTTCTGCGTTACAAATGAGGAGTCACTTATTCCTGTCTGCTCATTTCCTGCTTTCTTCCATTTTCCTATTTTTATTCCATCTGTGGAGTTGGTATTCCTTATCTATTTATGTGATCCAATGCTGCTGTCTACTGAGAGATCAAAGTAGCCCTTTTAAATCTAACATAGGCTTTTGCCAGACAACCAAAACGTTAATGAATACTCAAGATAGGCGCACGTGTCCTCTTTGAGATATTGTCAGTTTTGCTCTCCTGTGCCATTTGGAGGACCCATCCAGATTATTGTGCGGAAAACAGCAATGCCGCCGCCGTTCACGCATACATGTCCTTACCAAAACAATTACTCCTCATCGCATTCTTATTTATGGACCACACATTTGGCCCCAAAAGAACCAGCGGTCCAAATAAGTCTTTCAGTGAGATGATTTAGTCGTATTAGTAGACTGCACTTTTTACAAGATTTCATATGATTCTTAAGTAATCCAAGAGCTTTTTTTAACCCTACGTTTGCAAAATCATTGGCACGAAGAAATGCAGAAATCCTACTTCTAAGTTTAGGCTCTTCCACTTAAGTGGGAATCCAAAATTTTTACATCATTCTAATTTACATTTAACCTTATTTAGAAGATTCGAGCCATGACCGCGCCTGAGAAATGAGCTAATAAGAATTAGATACGCGTAAAACACAAAAGCCAAACGAATGGTTTCTGGTTAAATTCCAGGCACTTATTTTTAACTGTTTCTTTAGAAACTATGCTCAACATAAAGAAAGCTTTGAACTTTTTTTAACGTTTTTGAGCAACTTAGACATGAACATTTGCAGAGTATAACTCCATAATCTTAATAATAGTCTGGTTTACCCTGAAATAAGTTCCCTAAAAGGGAAGTTCCTCCAGCCGAAAATGAAGATACAATTTAGAACTAAAACTAATTTCTCCTATGATTAGATAGAATAATGACTAGAGAAATAAGCAAATGGTTCCTTACCTGGAAGATAGCGATACCAACAACGTTGTCTGGGAAAATGTTTCTAAAAGGTATACAGTCTTTTTCATCGTAGTTCGATAAAAGCAAATATCTTAGGTGCACTAGATAAAAAATAACTATGCATTCTGTTACATGTGCGGCTGAAACCAAAGTTACAAACTCGTGAGCAACTAATAAGGGATATCAGAAACGAAGAGAAATAGGAGCACACGAAAGTCAGCGAGAAGAGATAATTTTTAGCGATTCACTCCTATTATCTCAAGCTTACAGAAACAGATCCGCAAAAACGTCTGAGGTAGTGACAGGGGCCTCCATGGGATTTGTGTTTTCCTGTGGTGGTGCCGTGCCCGGAGCCACGACTCTTGTACCTAAAGCGATACAGGATGTCAACTAGAGGAACACCATTTTAGCTCATCAGAAAAAAGCATGAGATGTCTTATGCCAGTATGATATGCGGTTCTGGACATGATACTGAGCAAGGTTAGTTATTTTCGGGCGATTGTGTTTTATCTCCTTGCCTACAAAGCGGACTAGATCTCTAATGCAGGTGGTAATTACTTACTATTAAGAAAACGGGACGACAAGACATGAAACACAATGAAGTATGCAGTATGTATACTTCATACATTTTATGTTCCCTCGAATGTCCTTCCAGTTCTTGTACAAAAAACAACTTTGTTTTTGTTAATTGTATCGAACATGTCTTTTTCCTAAAGAGTTAACTTTAAAGGAGAATAATTTTTTAGTTTTTAAACCTTAGCAACTCCCTGCATATTTCAGACCGCGACTTTTTTCATCTACACTTACAGTTTTTAAAGTAGGTACCTATGTCTTTTCTTAAATAACCGCTTGGTTCTAGGTTTGCTGAAGTAAAACAGTAGTAAACTTGTTGGTACTGACAAATTAAAAACAAATGAAAGATTCGCAAAATATCCTGCAATTAAGTTTAGTTAAAATGTATCTCCCACTTACCTGGCGCTATAAGGTAGGCCGTAATAACACCAATTACGCCACTGAGAATATCCATACCAACTATGAAGCCAACAGCCGCTCCACCCATCTTTCCATTTTCTTTAGGGTCCATGCCGGCCATGACTTTGTAAAAAATGTATTCAAAGAGAAAAATGTCATAAATGAAGAATAAAGAAATTAACGCAATGAAAAATGTTTAAAAAAATTAATTTTGGTGATTTGTAAGTTTCCTGCAGGCGCATTTGCCAAATTCGTGTATTGTTGATACTGTCTAGCAGAAAATGCACTTAATGAACACGCCTAAGATTATAGTTTAAAACGATAGTTTTGAAGTAGTTCGCTTGTATTTGCCAGCTTTGCAGGTTTAACCCAGTAAAATAGCCCTATCTCCTTAATGGCGCTCGAAATAATCCAATTTAAGTTCGTCGAATTAGGTTACAAGACTCAATTACGCATAGGTTACCTTACGTTTGAAGTGGAGTTAACATTTTTCAAGCCAGGGATTTATTGCTATGATGAATAGAAACCGTAAGTCTTCCTCCTGCAAAAACCAGAAGGCATTTGCTCGCTTTGAAATTTCAGACCGCGTCATTCTTATTTCATTTTTTATCGCAAACAATTTAAAAACGTTCGTACGCTGGGATGGAGATTATGACTATGTCGAATTCAGATTTATTTTAACAGAAATCTATCGGGTCACATGCTCCATCAGTCGTGCCGGTAGTGGCCGCCTTTGATTAAGAGGCGTCACCTTAAATTGCACATGTTACCATATTTGCGGAAAATAACAACAATCCAAAAAGAACGATTAACAAAAATAATTCTTTGTTTAAAAAATGAGTCAATTAGCTTACCACAAATAATGTTGGCCGAAATGACCGGCAAAATAGTGAGTTGGAGAAGTCGTATATAAATGGTGCCCGGCATTTCTATAGTAGAAATCATATTGGACAAAGTGAATTCAGTAAGTAAATATTATTGACATTTTATCTCTAAGTAAGTACAAACCTATTGGTATGTATTGGTGCTACACAGTGCTATTTAATACCCTATCTGAAATATTCATTACAAAACTAAAAGGCATATACAGATAATATATAAAGGCCACGGAAAGAAACATGCATTAAACTAAGCTATTTTGGACCTGCGAATGACGCAAAACCGAAATTAACATTAAACAGTGATTTGGCTCAAAGAGCCGCAGTTTATTTATTAAATAGAATTATGTAAGTTGAACACAATTGGGTCAAAAATTTCATGGAAGTCCGGGACGGAAGTTTGAATTCTTGTTAAGCATAACAGCGGTTGTTTCTTATGCTTGCGCGATTTTTTTGTTGTGCTTATTAAGGAGAGACAAAGTATTTTGGGGAAGAACAGATTGCTTCCGATATTTTGGTAATTCCGTATGTTTCTAACAGTGACAAGCCACTGCCATATGCACACGCACATTCTTCTACGAAGGATATTAACGCAAAATAGACAGATTTGTATCAAGTATCCTTTGAAGTTCGTATGCACAGAAACGCAGATTATGTCCAGAATGAGAAGTTGCCTTTGGTACATTAAACGAGAACTTGATTGAAATGCAAAAAACGCCAGAAACATCTTGACTGTATTTTTGTTTGACAAATATACTAGTAGATTACAGGCAAAGGAGAGGAGATATTTCTTTACCCTTTATTATCTTTCATTATTTTTTCTGTCTGAAGAACTGGTATATCAACAATTACTATAGAAGATTCCCTATCTCTTGAAATGTCAACCAAAATCCTGAAATCTTCTTTTGACCCGAAAAAAACACTTAAGTAGGTTTGAAAGGACGATTATCGTTTAACCAAATCTCAAGATATTTCAGTCACTGAAGGATGCTGGCTTTTGAACGAACTTCTTTTCGGTGGCCTACAAAAGTAAAGTCTTCAAAATATAGTTACTAAAGTAGTGTGAATTTATCTTATTGGATTTTTATGCTTTTAGAAATTCGAATATATTTTGTGCAATACATGCACAGAACTATTTTTTGTACTCACTTTATAGGCAATCACGTCTTTTTCAAATTTTGTGCCTCAAGAAATCCTATCCTAAGTTTTTAAAGTTTCTAGTTCTAAGAATTTCTACGACCGGAAACTGTTCATTCATAACTCATCATAGCCGTCAGCATATTAATTTGGCCTATAAAGTATAACACACGATTTACCTCTGTTGTCAGACTTTATGAGCACTAATAAATCCGTCCTAATACCATAGTGAAATGTTCAATTTTCCTTAGACAGCATGCAGTTGTGAAACGTCAAATTCAAGTGGAACGGCCGGAAGGGTTTAAAATTATTAGGCAATTAAGAAATATGTTTAAAACCAAAAGATGCCCTATCTTCATGCCCAAAGTTTGTAGAAGACGTAATTGCCTCCAAAATCAGTACAAGAAAGAATATTTTTTTGCATGTTTTCTGCAAGATATATTTAAATTTATAAGGGCGTACAATTTATGTGGGAACAGTGCATACATGTTGAGTAACCATTTTTGAAGAAAAAAATGTTTGATCAAACAGAAACTTCATCAAAAGCCGGCATCCTGTTGCGCATGAAGTATCTTGAGATTGGATTACAAGATAATCGATAGTACGACTCTACTTAAATAATTTGTTCGTATGTAAAGCAGATTTTGGGATTTTGTTTGACATTTCGTAAGATAAGGAATCTGATTTAAATGGCATGTGAGGATCCCATTTTTTTGTTTTCGGATTATATTATAGACAAAGGCTACACAGGCAGTGCATGAAAACTTGTAAGACAAATGATGCTTTCCTTAGCATGGTCGTTTCATGACTGCTCTGATATTTAGGAAACAATGGAAGTAAGCTTTTTCAATAAGGAGCCTTGATTATACGCTTGATAGAAGCTCTTGACATGTTTCATCTACTGTGATAAGGGAGTGACGAAAAGGTCGAATTAGCTAATGAGGAGCGGCAATTGAGCTGATAGATCAATTCACTATAAAACAGTATTTTGTTACTGGTCGACTGTTATTTTAACTAATGATCCATATTTTATACTTGAGTCATTGAAATCCATGACTTATTTATCATTTTTCAGTTTTAATGAATTCAAAAACGATGGAATATTTTGATTATCATAATTGCAGTTTAAAAAAGTTGACTGCTTCAAAAAAATTGCCATACTGAACGGAAGACCACGAGTATCAAAATTCCCCACAATGTTACCCCTTTAATATGATACCGATTAAAGGTGAATTTCTGGAGTTTTTGGCATAAACTTTAACTTGTTGAACATTAAATTCTAATAATATTCACGACTGAAGTTTATTTATCATTGCATCTGTGGGTGCTATTAAACAGTTGGGGACTTGGCTTATCATCGCAAGTTTTGTCAAAAACCTCTGCGCAGGAGAAGTTTTCGACAAATCAAAAGCATAGTTAGTGATTCAGTTATGATCTAGAGTTAAAATACCAACTTACTTATCCATTCTATTGTGACCTCAGTGGGACCCGTTGATCCGACTCCGAAACCGATGCCGAATCCAACAGCTACACCGATCAGCGTGAGTATTGTGAACAGGTTATCACGCTGGCACTTGGCGAACTTCTGGCAGCAGGTTTGAGGCGCCTTCGTCTCAGATTTGGCCTCGCTTGTCTCAGACATAGCGCTTCTTCGTTCGTTACGCGATCACTGGCGCTGGTGCTCCTCCGTACTGCTGACGTCGTCACGCGCAGAAACCGCTAAAATAAATAACTCGTGAGACACCTATTGCGTCGTCCTCCACAGCTTATTGGTTTCTAATCGCTGCACTTGGAGAGACGGCGTTTGGCGTATGGACAGACGTATGGCATAGAGATCAAACGAAAAGTTGGCAAATTTGTTGCAGGATATTCTATTGGCTTAAATAAAGTTTCGACTGTTTGACACACCCGCGAGGGTCAACCCAGATACGGCCCAAGTACACTTACCCCGTAGGTTCTAGTTCAACATCGTTTAGCAATACGGATAGTACTGTTTATTTTGAAGCCTACTTATATGAATTTGTAGGTAAATTCGGGCACACAGGCCATGATGCCGCGATTTGGAGCCGGAAATATTTTTGGTCGTTTTGGGAAAAATGTACAAACAAAAATTAATGTTCAAATGTTAACACAAGGTTTACATTTATTGGCAAAAAAACAAACATCTCCATTGGCCACTGAATCAGAAAGTTAGCATATCACGTTTACTGTGTGCATACAAGTCTGGTGCTGTGCATGCCAAGGAATGTGCAATATGTCTTCTAAGTCAAGAAAAACGACGACAAAAATTGACACGATAAATCTAAGGCAGATTAAATGTCATGCATTTTACTTATTCATCAAGCTAAAACTCTACGGACACTTCGAACCTGTACGATCTTCACTGTGGCACAAATAAATAATAATTTTGTGGCAGAAAGGCTCCCTATATACAGTCAAATGGTAGGTTTGTGACAGAGTGGGCTGGTCGATATGCTATCTCATATGAAATTTGCCTTCCGTGACATCCGAATCAGTGGTATCAAATGAAACCTTCCTTGTCTTTGTCAACCGTACATTAAACGATGCAAAATCGGAGATATTACGGTAAATTACCGTGACATAATTTTAGAATTGATAGTCCAAATGCAAGCTGTTGGCTATCCCCGAGATTTCAATTGTGCTGCAAACTGCATTGAAAAACCATCAGCAACCGTTGTTCTTATTGTTCTGTGTATTGAATTAATTCGGTGTTCATTTAAACTTTATATATTCTGAAACGTAATTTGACCCATATGCAGTTGGTTCCCCATCTCATGAAATCTCATCGGGAATTCTGAAATGTGTTTTAATTTCGAACAAATTATTTAAGCAGGCTTTTAATATGGATTACCCCACGGTCTAAGTCCAAGATACTCCAGTCGCATCAGGATGCGACCTAAGAATGACGTTCTTTCTGACCATGAGCAAAATATATGCTCTGAAAAGAATCGTTACTTGAGTAGAATACATTTTCCTCCTTGATTTTTAATGCCTTTGTAAATTTAGGTATATTTTTTAGAAAATATGCACACAAAGATCATTTATTTTATATGTATGGCAGAAAATTACGTCTTCTTCATATTTTATGCATGAAAAAAGAATATGAACATGAGATTCTTTACATCCGTGAGTTGTCTATTGATAATCCATCGTATCCGTCAATATATTAATGTTTGCTTTAAAGCAAACAATATGATCCAATTCCCACTGCAAAATATTATGAGTTCTTTGTGATCTTTTCTTCATACCATAGCGAAGAAGGAACTTTTAGCTAAGCAGAATGTATACCGTCTGTAGTTTGGTAACCTTAAATTTAAGCCTACCGGCCTGCCGGATTGAAAATAATTTGGCCACTTACAAGCATTCTGTTAAATCGACAAATTCCTTGCTCAAGTATGCAATTTAAAGGTCGATTGAGCTATCAACTAAGTACAAGAAGAAATATTTTTTGCATGTTTTCTATAAAACATTCGAATTTATAAAGGCAGTAAAAAGTAATGAGAAAAATGCATACAGTTTAAGTGGCAACATTTTCAAAAAATGTTTTTGCAGGCGGTCAGAGTGAAGCTTCTTGAAAAGCAGGCATCCTGAACTGACTGAAATATCTTGAGATTAGACTGTACAATTACCAATATTACAACCTTACTTAAGTAATTTGTCCAAATCGAAAACTCATTTCAGGCTTTCGGCTTGACATTTCGTGAAGTGGAGAATCCACTAGAAAGATAGTATAACCGAAAAAGACAAGGAAGATAGGAATGGCTATTTCTGACTTCTTAGCCTTCATCAGCCAGTCATACCCAGACCCACGTGGTGTCCCATAGGAACCTCGAACTCGCGACCTTTTTGATCAGATTATAACCTAACCGTTGAGCCACGATCTAGTCATCTTGCCGGTTTAGGTCGGGGGATATTGATACTCGTTGATGAACGTAAACCGACCGCCAACGAAACTCATCCGTCCCGCTCTGCCATGGGTCCCGTCAGAGGTCCTGACAGCCATTAAAGCTCGTAGTATAGGCATATATTATTACCGGCAAAGACAAGGGGTACTCAAATGACCATTTCTGGCTTATTAGCCGTCCTCAGTCAGTCATACCCAGACCCAGGTGGTGCCCCGCCTGAGCCTCGATCTAGATGGCCTATACTACCAGGCTGTCAGGATTTCTGTCGAAGCCCAAGGCAGAGTGGGTCAGATGAGTTCCTCTGGCGGTCGGTGAATGCTCATCAAGGAATCTGCTAGGAGTTATGTACGTCAGCTAACTGTAGGGTGCAAAAGTGCGAATAGCACTTACGAAGTAATCAAAGAGCCAAGCTTTTCGTGAATGGACGGGTGGCTCTCAAAAGCCACCATGACTCCAAATTTTTTACTCTCACGTCTGCGACATCAGTGCCACCCTCTTGACGGCGACTGGTACACGTGGTGGTGGTGGTGGGGGTGATGGCACGTGAACAGACTAGCTTCCCTCTTTGTTTTGGCGCTGAAGGTTGGGCAGGTGGGGTATAAGAAAGTGCGGTAGAAGCTACGCATATCTGCCCGCCGTCCCACCATGAACTACTTAATTTGGTTGGATCTCACTCCTGCATGAGAGTGCCCTGTAGACCAGGCGTCCCGGAGCCAAACTCCACGTCCACGAGTCATTCACGCCTTTACAAGTACACACAGGACCAACTGCAAAGTCGGGGTTTTACTGTTGCCTGGAGAGCAAACAACAGTTGTTTATGTAGTCCCCCTCATTAATCCCTGCTTCCAGCATGTTGTCCTATGAAAACAGTGGTTATAGAGTTTTATGGGTGGAGAATTATGGTACGCAGTGGAATATAGTTTAATAACTGCTATATGCATTTTTATTTTATTGTATTGAGAATTGTTGATTTGTACATGCGGATTTTCCTAATCTGTACTACCATTTAAATTATTGCGGAAAAACCCGATTATCAAATCGCAGGTTTCTTGAAATTCCCAAAAAATAGAAATGTTGGTAAGGAGGTCGGCCACTTCTACTTACCTGAGGTCCAACTGAAGTTAAATTAGTATAGTCCGCAGCACGAAGCGCCGCACACACCTTCAACTTCCATACGGAACAACCTACTTCCAATACTTACTTCGACTACATTATTTCACTTTAAACTGACTTCTAAAAATTTCCTACTCTGCCTATCCTATTTTTCCACCCACCAAATCCCTATAACTACCGTTTTCGTAAGACAAAATGTTGGGACTAGGGGTATATGAGGGGACTCAATAAGTTACTTTTGACGGAGACCCTACATGTCGTGGGTAGATGCAAACGCATCAGCTTTATTATAAGCGGGAAATGCATCGTAGTTCAAACGGTGGGCCCCAGCCTCTCTTTCCCCTAACCGCACCAGTCAGTTGACCAAGCCGGTCCACCAAATGATGCTGAGGTTGGAAAGTAGTAACAGACAGAGCCGAGCAGTCAATCTACATGGAACACCGAATGAATTTGTTCATTAACCTTACAACAGTCTATCTCCCTTCTTTTTTGGTTGCTGTTTCTTATCCCTTGACGATCTGATGACCTGTGACAGTTGATTGGCCCATAACTCCTATAATCACCCTCCTTTTGTTTGCCGCTTCTTACCTCTGAAGATGGACTGTTTTAAGGGTTCGAAAGCTCAGGATAATAAACAAATTTATCCTGTGCTCGAAAAGTCTTCTTCTTTATCAATGTAAATACCCGGAACGTAAACATTT